GAGGGGTGGGCAATGGGATTCAGTCCAAAAAATTTTTATAGTCGTTTGTTCCTGTTTCATCGGCGCTCACTCACATCGTTGCAAAAATTCTAATGGGGAGGAAGGAGTGGAGGGAGGGAGCTGCATTTTCCGATAACTTCGAAATTTTCTTAAGCGTCAGGTCGTGCCTTGGTTGCAATTAAAAATTTGTGAAGTCGAGCTTCTCTTAACGTCACCTTGAGCACCCTTGCTACCGTATCCTTGCCTAACCTAGAAGTCATAGGGTAGATATTGAAGGTATTACTGAAACATTTATGTAACTGGTATCATTCTCAGTGGTGCCAATCTGTTAGCCGTGAACGCGGACGGTAATATGCCCTACGATATTTGCGATGACGAGACCACCCTGGATGCCATTGAAAGTGAAATGGCCGCCCGAGGCATCACCCAGGTGAGTAACGTGGCTTATTGATCGCCGCTTGATTAGGGGAACATCGGCTCTCGGGGTTTATGAGAGTATCCCCAATCCATCATGATCACCTTTTTTTGAACCAGTCTTTCTCTTGGTTCAGGCCTACATTGACGATCAGCGTGGTGCTCCTGAAAAGGCGATGTTAGACGACATGAAAAGCCTCCATCAACAGGGCTTCCCGCTTGATGCACGCCAGCCGGATGGATCTACTTACGTGAGCGATATTCTGTGATTTTACATCAGTTATTCCACCAGTACTTGAAAAGGTTATTTTTTAGCTGCACACTGCCGCTGCCAACGGCTATTACGACGTTGCCGCGTTTTTGTTACGATGCGGAGTACCTGCTACTTCACGGTGCGTTAACTTGTTCCCCAAATATTTTACTTTGCAAATGAAACCGAAAGGGCAGTACTGAATCATGGAACCAGTAGGCGTGGTCAGGCATGAGTTTGGCGCTACGTCAGCCCGTTTCGTCGTTCGATTTTATGCTTCGACGGTGTTCAGTGACTGGTGGAAAGGGATGCGCCCACTCCCATGCCGCCGCGACTAGTCCCCCATGATTTGTATAACGACTATATGGTTGTCATGAAACATCCATCATATTACTAAAATTATCATGATTGCCTCAAATGCACACTACAAAAGTGGTGAAGGTACAGCAACGACCGGCCACTACTACTGAAAACCTTTATGACTAAACATGGAGCCTCCTAAACAATTTCCCATTTATTCTTTTCTCTTGGAAGGCCGAAATTTCAATCGACAGAGCGGTCGCGGAAGAACGCAAGTCTTGTGACCAAAGTGGTCCCCCCCCCCCCCCCCCCCCCCCCCCCCCCCCCCCCCCCCCCCCCCCCCCCCCCCCCCCCCCCCCCCCCCCCCCCCCCCCCCCCCCCCCCCCCCCCCATTCACAGAAGCTTTACCTTTGCAATGCGGAACTAAAATAAATAGAAGAAGTGCGAAATGCCCCCTCCAAGCTGAACAATACCCGTTTTGCCCTTATTTTCATGATAAAGCGATAATATGGTTGCTTGACTATGTGATTAGCAATATCATATAATTGCGTTGTAGATGTTTGTGAAGCTGTTTGATAAATGAACGGGTTATTATGGAACTGGCCAAACTACTTTTCTTCGAATTATTTTATGAAGTTTCTTTTGTTTCAGAGATAATGACTTATGGCAACCGGTGCATGCTGCAGCTTGCTGGGCGCAACCAGACTTGGTGGAGTTAATTTGTGAGTACGGTGGCGACATCAATGCAAAAACAAGCAGCGGTGAAGCTCCTTTAGGTAGGGAAGATCACTTGATTTCGCTTTTCTTTCTCTTTAATATCGCGGCTTTGGGAACCTCACATATCTCTATAGTCCAGGCCCTGCGCTTGGAAAGGCGGGGACATCAGACGAGAAAATCTTGCGAACGAAACTTCTACTAGGAGTGACGAGTGGCGTAAAAGGTTGCGAGGGAGAAAACTACAAAAGAGCAACGAAGAAACAAGGCTGATGGAACGCAAGGCAGGACGGAGTGAAGATTAGGTTCTGCGCAAAAAGATAAAATCAGTAGGCGAAGTAGCTGAAAGCGTTCGCTACCAGCGCTTACCGCTTCTCCCAAAGGCATTGCTGTACACACACCTCTGTGGATTACTCCCAGTCGTGAGTGGGGAGAAGGGTTCGTAGCTGCAGTAAGTTTCTCCGGTCAAATGTGCAGGGAAGGGGGACAGAGGTGTAGTGGCTCCCGAATGCCGTCCCCATACTCCGTCTGCGCTGCTTCAGGCGCCCAACCATAGCCAAAGGCGCTCGGTGTCTGTGCTCTCACTTCCAATTGTTCTCTGCTGCTGAGCTCCTTGGCGCGACTTTATTGTTAGTATCGCCCGCAATAGTTCACCTTGAGGATAGCGAGGCCGAGCAATACGGGACGCCGTACCATTTATTCTCCAGCCTCTTCCCGTTTTTCGAGCGGAGAAGGTGGTACGCTAGAGCAGCTGATAGCCCGTTCTTCCCCAACGCGGGACAAGGATCCACAGAAGTGAGTGTGGTTTGTCTTTAAGATAGTGTGAGTTTAGGGCCGGTTATCGTCCGAATACGCTTTGCTTAGGCAGGCGGCCAGACTTCGCGACGGCGTCGCTTCGGTTCGCGTGTATTTCGACGCAACATTCGAGTCGAAAGGTATGCGCATTGAATCGCCACCGAACGCGCGACCGAAAGCGCTGACCGGCGCCAAACTCTGAACGCGCCTTGTCCCCCGAGCGAATCTATGACAGGGGTGTATTAGGATCTGTGAGTGCAAAGCGCAAATTATGAGACAGCTTTCCCGGAAGAAGACTATCTTTTTACTCCTTCAGGTCTCCGATTCTGTTTGATATAGTAAAACCATAGTTTTTTAGACCTGTGCGAGGATGAGACCACTCGCGCGGTCATCGCCACCATGCAGCAACAAGAAGCCCGAAAGAAGCGAATGGCATTCGGAGTGCGCGACAGTCGGCGACAAAGCAGACGGTATGAGTGTGCTTTTTATAGCTATTGATTGTCACCTGAATCCTAGCGAGCTCGCGACATTTTCAGGCGGAAGAAGTTCGAATCACCGCAACAAGTTGCCACCGGTGGCGACAATCCGTTCTCGGCTCGAGGCGCCATTCGACGTCTTTCGTTACGTGATCGAAGTGGGTTGGCACCTGCAAGGATCGAAGCACAGAAAGAGGGTGCTGACATTATACGGTTGGTTTTTCAGTGGTATATGGTTGTTTCTGGGCAATTCCAACTGTTTCTAGACTGTTAATTCCGGCTGGATAGAAAGCTTCCATTTTTTTATAATTTATTTCTCTCCGCTGCAGGTCTTGGTCAAAGGAAGACGTCTCATCAGATGTCAACACAATGCCACCACCGTTGCACGGCAATCGCGACTCTCCCAACAAACGAGTTCTTAAAGTACGTGCCATTCATATCTTTGTATTATTCACTCACTTGTTCAATCCTACATCTTGTGGGCGAAGTTCGACTATGAGAGGGGGGTTGTTTTGCACTTTTGCT